TAGGAAGTCTTAGATTACTAGACATTGTTTATTCCTCAGTGTCTACATTTGCTTTAATTTTCTGTCAGGGCAACTTGTTTACTTTTTCTGTCCAAGCTTTCAGAGAGATTCTTCGTGGAAAACACTATTGTATTTTTAGGGAGAGAGCAGTGCCTTTTTGTGGAGATATCACAGGTGTAGTAGAGGAAGTACTGGCTCAGGTTCTGGCTCTGCTCTTCTTAGTCTGTGGCCTTTGGCAAGTGCTTGTACTCATGCTTTGCTGATGCCTTTCCAGAATAGGCATACTATCTACTATCTACTCTGCTACCTCAGCATCAAATAAGATTTTTATATATGAAAAATTCTTGTCATGCATGCATAATTCAAGTAGAATGCCTAGTTTGTTGGGTTGTTTTTATTGACATTTTACGATGCTCTATCTCTAAGGAGTTAAATTATTGTTAGTACTAGAAATGATAGTACTAGTAAAACAATGTAACTTTTAAATTTATCTTTTTTTTTTAAAAAATAGTATGTTCTACTGGAATCTATTTGTACAAATGTGGACATTTAATAAATGCTCTTCTGATTATTTTCAGAATGTTGAGCATACTGGCTTTGTAGCCAGATTAAATTTATGAAAATTTTAATGATACTATAATTAATATCTAGAAAGAACAATGTATATATCTCTAAAATCACTTAAATACACTTTACATGAATCCTTGGTAATTGTAAATCAATTAATGTGATTTCTTGGGTCATAAATTAGACTAGGTATATTGTAGTATTAGTGCCTATGTAAGCTTCTTAGAACTTTAGCTGTTTGGTGTTCTGTTCTAGTTACTTGTTTGCTTTTGAACTCAATTCTAGGTGTTGAACTCAATTTGAGAGCCTAAAATGGTTTGTGCCCCAATTACCTTAGAGGTTACTGTTTCATTTTTTTATTTAGCCTGTTCCAATAGTAGGAAATCAGCCACCTATCAGACTTTTTCCTTTTAACTTGAGTGTGTGCATTAATTTTGTCTCTATCCCATAGAGTGTTGTGAAGGTTATTATAGTAGCACTTACAGTATATTTTAAACTTCTTGAAAAGAGGTAATATTTGAACACAAAATATTTTTGTACTGTAATTTTCCCCCCACTAACCTTTTTTGGTTCAGAAAAAGGATGGCATTACTTAAGTTTAGGGTTCATGTTGGTTTCCAGCCTCAGCTAACATTAACCTGATTGTATGGAGTGTCTCCAAAGCATGTCCTTTGACTGATACTGCTCTTTCTTGCAGGCTTGTATTCTAGCTCCAAATTTTAGTATTGACTCTCTTAGCATCCTTGAAAACCGTTGAATGTTTTTCCCATTAGTTCTTCTTAGTGGGTAGAAAGTAGCTTTTTCTTATTGCTTGTTTTCTTGGACATTGCTGGATTGAAACTCTGGTTCTACCTTGCTTCCTGCTCAGTCATTTGCTCTCACTGGCTAGAGCAGTCCCTGGGCACAACAATTACAGTGATATCCAGGGACTGGAAGGACAGGCAGCAGCTCAGTGCTGTGCAAAGAGAGAGGGAGAAAGTGCTTACAAAAGATGGGCTACAAATGACAGACACGACCACCAATGACCCCACCACCGTTGCTTCGGCCAAGAGATGGGACTTCTCTTTTTCCCTTCCATGAACTTTGGGGAATATCATTTTTGTATTAACTCAACAAAGATTTGGGCTTCTGTGTGTGCCATGCGTTGTATTAAGTGCTGGGGATACAATTACTAGAAGCCAGACATCCCTTCAAGGATGCCTTGACAGAGTCTGATTTTGAGTATGTTAGAGAAATATCAGAGAAGAAAAACTGCTAGATTGGTCTTAGATGCTGAATGTCCTTCGGGATTAAAGGTGGAATTATAGGTTAACAGAAAACATCTGAAAGAAATGACGCTTATGTAATTAAAAAGTTTCAGATGGCATTGTGGCAGTGTTAGCTGATCATGAATCCCATTTCAGCTTCTACCTGGGTGTGTAGCCAGACTGCGTTTCCTAGTCTCCCTTACAGTTGGGTGTGGCTCTGTGACTGAATTCTAGCTGATGCCATAGGAGCAGAGAAGTGTGTCTCTTCTAGGCCTGGACAATAAAACCCTCCATGCACAGTTATCCAGGCACCTTCCCTCTGTTGGCTTCATACCAAGGAGCCCAGTGACCTAGGATGTCTCGTGCCACCAGATGGAAGGAGTGTGGGCCCCACAGTCACTGCTTGCATGAGGGCTGTCTGCTGATCAGGAACACCTGTTTCGGATTTTCCATGTTGTTAGCTGCTGTGGAGTTGACCATGATTGTGGTGACCGCTTGTATAATAGAAGTCCTGCACAATCTACATGATCATTAGTATGTGAGTTCATTGTTGTGGGTATTGTGTCAATCCATTTCATTGAGGATTTCCCTTGTTTTCACTGATCATCTACTTTACCAACCCTGAAGTCCTTTTCTAGCAATTGGTCTTTTATGATGACATGTCCAAAGTAAGCAAAAGGAAGACTCGCCATCTTTGCTTCTAAGGAGTATTCTGCTTGTATCTTACAAGACTGATTTGTTTATTCTTCTGGCAGTCCATGAGCAAGATGTAAGTATTTATGGTATTTGAACCATTGTATAGTTTGTTTGAATAGCCTCCCAAACTAATCTAGGCATGATGCCTAGAATGGTAGGCAGAATTGGTGAGGTTAGTAAAGGTGCTAAGAATTTTGGACTCTGCTTTAATTTGCATGTGATGTTATATGCAGTGTGTGTCCAATGAATTTCAAGAATCAATTTAAGTTATAAATATGTGACAATTTTTTTTTTTAAAGTATCACTTCTAATTGGTAGAAGGGGTTTATTGCACTGCAGTGTGGCCTCTCTCCATCTTTTATTTAATAAGCTTTGTGGATCCTCAGTTATCTTTAAAGGTACTCTATGGAGACTTAAACATTCTCAGTCCTTATTTCAAAGAAGTGTAAATAAGATTTTTCATTATGTTTCTTCTCCAAAAGCATGCAACCACTTCTTTTATGTAGCATTTTGTTTCATCATGTGTATATGTATATATATATATATATGCATTTTATTTTATCTTATTTTTTTTTAATATAAAACGTGTGTGTGTAACACCCTTACCAACGTTTTCTGAAGGGATACAAAAAGTAATGAAACATATCTATAGTCTGTGCCTTTGAGGAGTTTGTAGTGCTTGGTGTACAGATGTTGTTGTTGTTGTTAGGTGCTGCCGAGTTGGTTCTGACTCATCGTGACCCTGTGTACGACAGAAACACTGCCCAGTCCTGCGCCATCCTCACAGTCCTTGCTATATCTGATCCTATAGTTGCAGCCACTGTGTCAGTCCATCTCTTTGAGGGTCTTCCTCTTTTTAGCTGAGCCTCTACTTTACCAAGCATGATACCCTTCTCCAGGGACTGGAGATAGTTACACTCATATTTCTCCTCTGAGTTTCCATACATTTGCCCTTCATTTTAGTCTTTAATTACTTGTACATTTTTTCTTCATTATATATATGTTGTTGTTGTTATGTGCCGTCGAGTCGGCCCTGACTCATAGCGACCCCTCCTTGGGTTTCCAAGGCAGTATCACTACGGAAGTAGGATTGCCCAACCTTCCTTCCGAGGAGTG